TCCCTCTTAGAGGGAATTAGCTAGGAAGGAGTTGGGGTAATAAATCCCATAAATTATCTTTCTCTAAACCTCCAGTGTGAACCAGTGCCTCACATCTCAAATTATGCAAGTCTCAAAATAAAACATTGCATTTTTTTCTTGTTACTCCTGGAATTCCCTTACTGGAGAATTCTTCAAAGTCTACCTTTCCATTCTTTGTGTTCAAGCCAGAGATTGAGGAGTCATTCTTGCTTCCCTTATCTTGCACACCACATAAATTATGTTTCCAAATCCTGTTTCAAATACACATTTTGACTGAGTCTTCCACTGCATCTCTCTAGCCACCTCTCTCCTTGTAGTCACGAGCTCTCCTCTAGTATTGGAACAGCCTACGAAGTGACTTTCCCGCTAGTGTTCTTATCCACTTGCTGGCCACTGGCCAGCATGAACTTCTTAAAGTATACATCAGAAAAGTTATTCTGCTGGACAAAATCATTTAGATGTTTCATAATTTACTTCAAAAAGTGTGCACTGTCCTTAACATGTCCTCTCAGAAAAGTCACGATGTTGCCTGAACTATTTATCCAGCTCATCTTGCCCTCTGCTGCTTTTTGCTCTCCAGGACATCATCAGGATGGCCTCCACTAGAGTTCTCACTATTTCTAGATTTAATCCTCACTTTTTGGCTTCTTCTTAGACTTTGTGGCTTCCCTCATAGGCTTAATTGTTAAGCAACTTTATTAACAACTGAGTGGTCGTGAACTAGAGTTTCAGTTTAAATGAATCTTTCTCTATAGGCTGTTTACTGACTATTTCACATTGATCTAGAAATCCAGAAATTCTACAGAATTCTGTTGCCTTTTTCCATAGAACTCTTTACAGTTTACTATTACTCATATAGTTGGTTTGTTTAAAGTAGATCTTTCATCCTATGCAAGATCCAGGAGGTCAGCTATTGTATCTTTCTACCCAATCATTATATATCCCCAGCATCTGGCCTAATGCCACATGAGGCTTTGGACTTAGTTGAGAATTCTTTTTCCAATTGAATTAATAAATAACTATGAGTCAAACTATATATTTAATAATCCATTAGTTTGATCCTACTTTTGGTCAGCAATTCTGGGATTATTACTTGGCCCTGCATCTTCTCTGACCTCCAGGATTTTTCCACTGTTTACCATGCAATTTGGAGTTCATACTCGTTGAGACCAAATCAGTATTTTCAGTCATACTGACACCTTAAATTTTTGTATATATGTTCTTCATTATAATGTTTACCAACTCAACTCTTATTCAGTGATTGCAGTCATAATGGGCTGACTTCTAATGATTATTTTAACATCTGCTTAGTATGCATCTAACCCAACAGATTTATTTCCCTTCATGTTGCTTACTGGTTTCTTCATGAAGAGACTCATTCCTCCTTTAACTATGGAGAATGTGTTTGAGCCCAGGTACAGTGGGCCAAAAAGACTTCTTCAACTCCATCAACACAAAATTTCCTGCCAGGAACTAAATGAAGTGGCACATCTATTGACTAGATGAGAAAGCCAGAATTAGACTACTTTCCAAAAGCCAGTAAAGTGGATCTCTCCTGGCACTCATTTTATGTACCTAAAGAAAGCCTTCTGCGGGGGAACAGGAAGTCTGTGAAGGCACCATAGGGGTTCACTATTGAATGTTGTCACATGCTTTCTCCCAATTTTTAAAGAGGCAACGTCTACAAGAAAGCAGGGCTGTCCTCCTCCTCATCCTCTGTGGCATGGAGAATAGCTGTGTCTCTGAGCAGGGCTTGGGATATTCTGGTTTTGAGATCTCACTAGGAAATGCTTCTCACCTACGTCCCCGTTGATTAAGTCTAAAATTAAATTTAAAATGACTGGTGAACTGACATCCTTAGATTGTTACCACAATATTGTCTTCTGAGCATAATACTCTCTCCCTTGGTCATTCAATTTAAAATCACCGACTCAAACAAACTTTCTTCATCTGTCTTTTATTTCTTTGGGTATAATATTTTATCATAAGCTATTTAACTTGTACTACTGAATACTTGTCTCCAAATACTAAAACTGGAGGCAACAAGAGTGGTTTTGTGCTCCAGTGAGACTGATTAATTATCTCTATGAAAATTTCTTCATCAATTGTTGGTAACTTTTCAGACGACCTGTGAGTCACTCTAGTTCATGACCACTCAAGGACAAGTGGGATTAAGGACTTAGACACATTAGGGAAAGGAGAGAGCTCAGAGTGTAGTTAAGAATGTATTGCAACAATAAAAGAGAAAGGAACCATGTGAAGATATTGGTTTTTTTTTCTCCAAAATGCAAAGCCATCAGTTTTCTGGCCTTCTCTGAAGTCTTCATTATTTCTTATTGCCTTCTAGAACGCATCCATGCTTTTGTACTTAGCTTTGAAATCCTTCCAAATGCTGGCTTCTTGCTGGTTCATCTAATGAGTATCTCTGCTCTACTAAAACTTCAGTTACAAAAACAGGAAGTGGCCCAAATTTCTTCTGCTCTCAGTTATTCACTGGCCTAGTTTCCTGGGCTGTCCTCTGCTTTGATCATGGCTTCTACTCTGACATTTAGTTGAGAATAGAGGAAATTGCTGAGTTTACAGTCAGATTGAACTCAGGCCCTTGAGCTTGCCAACATACAGGTAGGAAGATGGAAGAAGTGATCCAAATGCTCTCAAGATTCCTGCCCAGCTACTTACTCCACACAATTTTCCTTTATAATCAAACAGTATCTTCTTACATCTCACTGAGTGATTCGTAGTGTGAGGAAACCAGGGATGTAATTGTGTGCATGGGGATATATTCACCCCATAAACTAGAGTTCTGTGACCAAGGGAGTAAGAAGAATGGATGCTGGGGAGACTTCTAAGGGTTTCTGCCATGCTTACCAGATTGAAGTCTCACAGCTGCACTTTCTGCCCATGGTGAAGTGGGAAAAGATAGTACCTCCCTTCCGGAGGATGGCTGTGCAGGTTTAATAATCAAATGCACAAGTGCTGGTACAGTATTAAGTAATACTGCCATTACAATGTTATCAGCACAAGTGCTGGTACAGTCCTACCCAATACTGTAAACCTTCAATAAAGCCAACACATTTCTAGAATTATCATTATTTTCATATTTTGTATTTTTTAAAAAATCTCTGCTATATCTCCAGTGCTTTGGACTTTTGACTGGTACTCAAGGGAGCACAGCAGACATTATTAGAATGAACAAATGAACTGCCCTGATCATCAGTTGAGATTTTGGGACAAGAGAAGCAGATCTTTGAAATTTCAAAGAATTTATTTAAAGTGTTTAAATTACAATTGTTCTTATAAATGAGATGCAGCATATCATCTTTTGTTTCTTTTTTCTTTTCTTTTCTTTTTTCTTTTTCTTTTCTTTTTTTCTTTTTTTTTTTTTTTCAGAATCAGGGATTGAACTCAAGCCCTTAAGCTTGCCAGGGAAGCGCTTATTCCACTGAGCTATCTCCCCGGCCCCCTGAATTATCTCCCTGGCCCCTTTTATTTCATTATTATTAATCCTTATTAAGAGAAGAATCACTAACTTTGACAGGTAACAAAATAGCTAGAGAGTCAGGATTACACAGGGACAGATGTCCAGTTGTTCTGTAATGACTTAGGCACAGATGTTCTTATCCCTCTTTTGAATTATTCCACTCAACATTTGAAAGCCCCAGGAGACAGCCAGCAATGTGCCAAATGCGACTGACTCATCTGTCTCCTTCTGGATAGGGGAGGATGGAATGCATCATTTCGTACCAGAGCTGCTAGGGACTGGAGAGAAGCAAAGGATTAGGATGAAATCAGTGTGAAGGATGAAGGCAGCGGGACACAGGGCAGGAGACACACAGGAGAGGCTGTCGCCTGCCCCGTTCCTCTCCATTTCCTTTGCAATTTGTACTCTCATTAAATAGCAAGCTGCCATCTTGCACAGAAGGTACAAGATGCTAAAAGAACAGCTTTTTTTTTTTTTTTGATGATTTGTTTTGCTAATATTTTAAGGCAAGAATGGAGAAGACATATATGACAGTGAGGTCCTAGAATTGCTATTAAAGACCAGTAAACAGATGTTAAAGAAGAACAAGGTTGTAAGACCAAATGGGTCTTGTAATTCCGCCTAATGATACCCAGATAAATAAGCTTTGCAATAACACCAGAAACCAAGCAATTTTTTCTAAATATTTTTTCTTCTATGAAGATTATATTGCTATTCTGATTGATTACTGAACAACTACTAGAGTCTCCAGTAAAACACTGAAACCAGATGGCTTTTCTCTTTGTTTACCTTTGCAGATTTTCCGGGAATCAAAAGTCCATGACAACCTAGGGATTTATTTTAAAGCATGATTCACACTAGAATCATCTACCATGATTAAATAAGTCTTACAGATATTTGGAATTGCTTTAATTTGGTAAATTTATTGGAATTTTTTAAATTAGAAAACTAAATTTATTTTATTTGATTGCAAGATTATAAAAAAACTGTAGGACTCCCAAAATAGACTTGCACCGTGGCAAATGTATGCGCCACTCCTGGGCACAGTTCCAACCAAGTGTAAGAGCTCTAGTAAATTAGCAAATTTTATATGCATTGACCTAAAGTGCTCACTTATAGTCCTTTAAAAATTTGGGCCTAGATTTTTAAAGAAATGTCTAGATTTTAAAGAAGCAGTGGGTTCAGCCCAATAAAAAATATCTTTGTGTGTACCTTGAACATGGAATTAATAAAACTGAACAAAAAATTTCTTTCATAGAGGTAAACCTTATAAAAATATTCTTCATATTTTTACTCTTAATTGTATTTATTCATATGATTTGCTATTAGGACATATACATGAAATATAACAATAGTCAATTAAATATTTAGTACTCTGCAGAGTAAAATAAATTTGAAATATTTATTCAGAGATTGACAATTATTAACATTTTCTAACCAGACACTTCTTTACTTTCCTTCTGCTAATCTTTTGCTCTATATGTTTTGCTTTTCACAGTGTGTTAACGCATTATTGAAACTACAAACATCCACAGCAGTTCCATGTAGACAAATCACAGACTTTGAAAGCTGGAGGTATCTCTTCATGGCATACATCATGTGGAGTCTTTGAAGCACACAATTCTGCCCAGCGTCCAAATAAAGAATCCCTGGCCTGGTATGTAAGAGAAATCCTTGCGTCCATCATGACAAACCAGGAAAAATGGGCCCACCTCAGCCCTTCAGAATTTTCACAACTTCAGAAGTATGCAGAGTGTGAGTATTTTTATTTATTATGTGGTTTTATGTCACATTTTGGTAAAAGAAGGTGTCATTCATTTATATGTCACAGAGCCTGTTCATGCAGGGGATGGATGCAGATCTGGCCTTGGTGTTCACAACTAGGTTGAACTGAAACAAGTTTTACACATGTGAGAAAAAAGAAAGGATAAAATCAAATCACACCTCAAATCTAGAAAAAGGAAAGCAGAATGGGAAATGAAGTTTGGAAATCTCTGCCCCTAGTGTGAAAGCAGAACACAGGACTGGAATCAGGCCTGACCACACAGTACTGGAATAGAAAAACGGTAGGACAGGCCACAAAGGCAATGAGTGAGGGAAGAGTGAAGTACAAAAGCAGTGTTTTACTTGAGTCAGCATAGAACGCATATGAGGAAGCTGCTGAGAATTTAGAAGAGAGTTCTAAATCTATAATATCACATGCACACGTATTTAGGCAATAATCTTAAATTAAAATTCCTACTCTCAGCATGCTTGGGGAGGTCAGAATTTTTTTTTCAACAGTGGATTGAACTTAGACCCTTGTGCTTGCCAGGGTAGTGCTTATTCTATGGGGCCATCTTCCCGGCCCCAGTCAGAAAATTTTTGATGTGAAATGATCATCTGCACATTCAAAACTGTATGAGGCCACTAAAGCATAATTCACTCAAAAGGAACATTTGGTGCAAAATGACTGCACACATGTGCCTTTCTTCTTATACTTAATATTTCCCAAGTTTACAAGTAGAAAATAATGGAAAACTAAATCTATGTGGGGGCACAATTATCTGGGTTAAACCAAGCAAAGTTGAAGAATCTAGAGGGTTTTAATGCTTACTTGGAGTTAGAGGGGAAGAAAATCTTCTCAGAAAAAAGTAGGATGAAAAGTATCCTGAAAATAGAAGTCATGTAAATGACAAAGGAAATGATACTGATAGACAGGAAATGCCATGCGTGTTTGAGGATGGCAGGTGAGTCATATTTAGCTACATCACGAATTACAATAACAAGAGTAGTTCTATTTTATTAGCGAAGGACTATGAGGATATGCAAGAATAGTTGGACGTATGAAGACATTACTTTCCAATAAAACCATTTTTACTTGAATACATGGCTACTTGGAAATGGACTTAATTTATACAACTTAGCAAAAATAATAGCTCAGCAGTACACTACCATGTCATGTGTCAGCTATTTAGTTTCCTGACCACCTCTCACTAGAAGTTGCAGCTCACAGCAGCTGCCCAAGGTTGCCGGATGGTAGTGTAGCTCAGAAAACCTCAAAGTTCAGAATTGGAGGTGGTGCTTCAACTGAACAAGCGTTGCTTTTGCTCTATCACTGTGAAGTCGAAGGACTGCAAGTCAAAGAATTGTGAGCTTGGAAGCACCTCTCTACTGTCAGAATGCTTCACTTAGTAATCAGTTTGTGTAAATGCTTAAGGAAAACAACAATAAAATTATTGTAAGTGTAAAATTGAATTGTATTAAGATTAAGCATAATGAGTACTTAGTGGATTAGTAGGAGGAAGTGGCACAGTAAGTTTTTAAAGAACATTGCCCAAATGTATATTACAGGAAGACAAAGTACAGATTAATCCTGAATGGGATACATGCTTCCCAATCCACGGTCACCATAAATAGCACTAACCAGCCAAGACAGCATAAAAGTGCTAAATTTATAATGTGCTTTTAGAAGACATTTGCATTATAAAAAAATAAATAAACCAAAACCCTGGAATCTTACCTATCATTTGAAGACCATACATACATTTCCTTGCTGTTTAGTATGCGTAAAAAATTCTTGGGAGTATTGAGAGGGCTAATTTTTCACTTTGCAATGTGATATTGAAAAAAGTGTTATTCTTGTAACTCAACTAGAAAAGTAGTATATTGAATTCACTTTCTTGATAGTACTTTGTGTCTTGTGATAAGCAATTTTTATATGTGTTAAATGGGTAAATTTTACTTGTTGATTTAAAGCTAAATTTGCAATATTGTAAGAGTGAACATGCTCATATATATGTATATGTATATATATTTAAATAATTTGTATGCTTTTTAACATGGAGTGGGGGGTGTGGAGCTCTTGAACAATGTAGATGGGCTCATGGAAGCTGTAACCTTGGAAAACTAAACCATGTGGAACCAAATAAGGATTTCTCTCTCAAGTTGCTCTTCTGCTTTTGGACTCACAATTGCCAAGGTACATATTGTAATTATGATTGTTTTTGTAACTGTTAGGGTATTCATGAAATTAACAGAGCATCAATAGGTAGATACTGGCACAGCTTTCTGGCTAGGCAGAGAGGTAGTACGTCAGACATCTTGTGTGGACTCTCTGGTCCCAATCTAGATAGCAGACTTTCAGTAAGTTATGTAACATCTTTGTGTCTCAATTCTGTGCTTGTAAAATAACAACATAGGAAAAAATATGTCTAGCATTGTAAGTCTTAAATTGACTGAACTATCCACATGAAATAAGAAGGGCGGCACCTAGCATATTGTTAGTGAAAAGACTGTTTATAATTATTACATTACTAGACAGAGAATGCTGTGTTTTCTTGGTCAATTGAACATCTTGTTGATGATCAAGAAGAAAAGTGCCTCGTTTTGCAGCATGAAGAGTATCTATCTTCGTTCTGCTGTAAGACAAGGTAGGAGCTTCTGGTGTTATTGGCAGCTGTGATGAAGTGTTGTCCCCACAGAAGCTGGGCTGCCTGCAGCGTGCTGTGCTCTTGCTCCTGTTTAGGGTTGCAGGCTGAGTCACTTCATGGGAAGAGTTTCCACTGATATGTGGGAGGGAGGTATAATTTTCCTCCCCATTTTTTTATATAAAGTCATATAAACAGTTGCAAAGTAGAAAGTTCTCACTCCTGCCACGTGGAGAATTGAGCTTATCACATTAATGGCCCTGAATGTTTCCTGCTGCAGTTTCTGCACAATGTAAAGGATTAAGGAACTCCAAGTCTCTTCATGGACAAGAATACCATCTATGCAGAAACTACATGAGATTTCAAGTGATTCACTATCTACCCACAAAGTGTCACTTTGGATTAACTTTTGGTTTGACACATGGAGTGTGTTATATAGCATCTAAATTATTTGTGAAAAATCCTGTGCTATTATGAGGGAACAGTTCCAACCTTTTATGAATTTTGTACCATTGATAGCAACTGCTGAGGTAGTTACAAAATAATGGTGAATTAAGGCCCAGTGTGCCAAACAGTACAACCCAGTGTATAATTCTTTTCTATGGAAGAGAGAGATTCAGTATGACCTAAAAGAAGAAGCACTAGGTTTGTAGATAAATATTTGATGGTAGTAATTGGATCACAGTTACGTCTTCTGCTAATTAGTAGTAAGTGTTCGGAAATGCTACATAAACCACCTGGGCCTCAGCTTTCTCACCTAAAAAGTGGAAGAAAATGCGGCTCAATCTAGGATTTAATAAAACACCCACCAACTTCACAACAAATAGTAGAATTTAAATTCACTCTTAACAATATATCGATATTATCTCAATCCTTACCATAAACCAGGGAAGGTGGTAGATTATCATCTCTGGGGATTAAATTTTGCTGCCAGATTAGCGGGCACAAATTCTTAGCACAATGTGACAACAAATACCAAAAACAGTAGTATTAGTATGTTAATTGATATTTTCTTAATAATCTTTTCAAAATAAGCAAAGCTAAAACAAAAGACTGAGATGTTAATATTTTTATCCACCACAGACTTCCTCTAAAGGGTTTCTCATGTATGCAGCGCAGAGCAGCCCAGCTGCTGTGTAAGGCATTGGCCCCAGCATGCATTTGTGGTCTCTGACTCTGACATACTGATTGAGCTGGGCCCTATGCAAACCGAGTGATGTTCTATGTAACCCAGAAGCAGGTGTTGCCATTGTGCCTACACTCACTCTTTCTGTCCCCGGGGTCTTAGGCATATGTATTCTTCATTTAATACACATGAGGCAGGGCATGGTGGCAGATGCCTGTAATTCCAGTACTTGGCAGACTAAGGCAGAAAGATTGCTGAGAGTTCAAGATCAGTCTGAGCAACACAGTGAGTTCAAGGACAGCTTGAACTGTATAGCATAATCCTATCTCATAAAACAAAACCAAAGCAAAACAAACAAATAAGTGGGGAATAGGAAATAAAGATGATGACAAAATGAAGAAGCAATTGTAACAAAGACACATCCTTTTCCAATTTAAGAAACCCTTTCATCTATTGTGAGGATCTAACAGAGTATATATTTGGAAAATGTTTTGTGTCTGATTCACACAAGATGAGATAAGGAAAAGACAGAAACAAAACTCAACTTCTTCCTATGTGCACATTGAATTCATTGTGAAGCAAATTTAGACTACACGAGAGCCCTCTTTCCAATTTTTCCTGCTGAGATTAGCTTTTACTTCTGTCTTATGCCCTATGCTAGATTGGCTCTATTTTGGGAGGCCAAACCACTTATTGATAATTACTCTCTTTGTACAAGACAAGAAGAATAAATGGCACAGGGCCACTTATCCTAGTGTCTGAGAACACATAATTTGGTGGCAGATAAAGCTGGGTTTGGGCTTTCCTGCTGTGTGGTGTGTATCTTATTTTCCTATAGACATATGCTGATGATGAAATGTGAAATTGTATAGAAGTGCTCTGAATTCAATGTCTCTGTTATGATTATGATCATCATCAGCATTGGAATAGTGGGCTCAGGTATTTCAATTTTAGAGAACTCTATTTTTCTGTTGATTTAGGCTTTCTCAGTTACATTATGTATGCAGAATGTCTTGATTTTCCTAAAGTGTCTTCACTTTGCTCAGACACTTCTTTTGAAATGTGAATCTGAAACCCGACTTCACATAATGCAATGTCTCTCTTTCCTGACCCTGTTTCTTCTGAATAGCATTGATTCACTCAGCCATTTCTGGCCCTGACCCAGACTGTATTTCTGGAATGTATGTTGGCTTGATAATCTCTTTGCCTCTTCCCTGGCT